GCCGGGGCCGGGGCCGCGCGAAGCCGGCCTGGCCATGACGGCGGAGGAGAAGAGGAGCCTGCAGTGCTACAGGCGGTACATCGAGAAGAGCCTGAACCCCGTCTACATCCTGGGCAACATGACGGACTGGCTGTCCGACGGTGAGCGGCCGGCCGCGGCTGGCTTCCCCCGGCGCCGCCCCGCGCTCCCCGCGGCTGGCGAGCTTTGCTCTCCCCGCCGCCGCTGCGGGTGCCCCCCCTCACTCTTTGCTGGCTTCGGGTTTTTGCTAGAGGTGAAGGAGAGGGTCCGGAAGGAGGAGGAGAAGGGGGTGACGGCGGCCGCCGCGCTGTTCCTGGACGCCGTCCTGCAGCTGGAGGCGGAGGGCTGGCTGCGGGGCTTCCTGGACGCCCTGGTCGCAGCAGGTCGGTTCCCACTCGCAAGCGTGGTTTCTCTCCGCGTCTCCCTTTCCCTGCCAGAGCCACAGCCGCCGCCCGCCTTCAGCGGGGCAGGGCCGGCCCAGCGCTCCCGGGAGGTGGAGGGGCGCCCCGTTTCCCTCGGGCGTCCTGCTGTCGGGGCCTGTCCCGCCAGATGAGAGGCGGTAGGAAAAAGCGGGCTGCCGGGGGCTGGAGGGCAAACTCTTACGGGGAAACGTCCCTCTGAGAAGCAGCTGGACCCGTTTCGATTTTGGAGAAAGTCAGTGACGGGTGAAGGGGTGCAGAATAAAGCCGCGCTGGCAGGAGGCTTGTCTGTCTCAGGGTGTTTGGAGGAGAAACAAGGCAGCCGTTGTTCTCACCAGCTGTAGTTAAAGGAAGCTCAATCCCCTGAAAGAGAAAGCTAAATGGGTTTCAGGAGGTGCACGGGGGCTAACTGGTAGGATGGGATAACTTCATTCAAGGACAGAGTCTTAAATTAGGAACTGATTTTTAAAATTATTCAGGAGTCTTGAAAGTCTTAAGTTTCAAGAAGTAGGTAACCATTAATAGCTTATAAATTCTGATTGTTCCTCACTAACTATGACTGCTTGATGTGTGAAGTCCTAATGCAATTTCCTTTTGAAAATGTGACGGAAGAGACTATGAAGGAGTAAAACTACCAGGATTTGCTGGCTTTCCGCTATACGTGTAGGTTCTATTGTAGATTCTTCTTGGTGGTTTATTGGGTATCTCAAACCCGAAAATCTCATGCCATAAGCCACGCTGGTTTTCATCTACTCACTGTTAACTACAGATAATTACAGTATCTCAGTGAGCAATTATTACAAAATTTCTTATCACTTGGATCTAGCCCACTCCCCCCTTAAAGCAAATACTAGGCCCAGAGCAACTTTTTACCTGCCTGTGACAGTCCTAACTTCTGAAATACAAACATACCTTCTTTGAACACACTGATAGCATTCAGTTTAGTGTATCTTCACCAGAAAACTGAAAAAGTTAACCTGCTGACTTCAATACTTACTAATTGGGCCTGAGAGTAGCATTTAGCGTTACTCTCTCATATTTGGCAGATACAGAGGTGATAATTAGCTTAAAGACTGTGTGGTAAGTATCCACACCATTCTCCTGCTTCTCCAAAAGAAAATAAAAAGTTAGGCAAATTCCTTCTGTTTGCCCACAGTTCCTCTGGGACGCTGACCTGCTTGCTTCCACCTCTGGAGCCCACCCAGCAAATCACATAAGTCCTCTAAATCTGATTCCCTGCCACTGTCTGTTCCAGGACAGTATTTTCAGCTGTTTGCTGACTATCTAGGCTGCAGGTGTCTGCGTTGCTAAGGAGGGTTGTCGTGTCCCAAGGCTGGAGTGACTCAGGTTCATGGATTTCCTTTGTCAGAAGTAAGGTGAAGACACCAGGGGAGTTCAAACGACAATCAACATTTATTCAACCAAGCTAACCTTGCTCAAGTACAAGTGAACTTATCGATATGAACCTTGCATCATGTCATTAAGCTGCCGTTTGAAAAGGGAAGGTGTAGAAAAAGAAACGGAAAAAGGAACATGAAACTATGTCAGTGAACTGTACAACGTGTACTAACCATACGTAAGCCTTACTTATTTGGGGATCAATTCAAAGAAGAAAATAAGGAGATCTCTCCCGTTGAGTCACGAGGTTCAGAGTGGACCCCCTTGCTTTCTAGACTCCTTCTCAGAGAGGAGCCCAGGGGCGACTGGATCCACTCCTAGTCCCAGACTTGGTCAACAGTTTATGTTTAAAAGGATGAGGTGTAGGGACTGTGGAAAAGAGAGAGAGAGAGAGAGAGGAAGAAAGAGAGAAGAAAAGGATTTTATCAGTCCTGGGTCCAGTGTTGGTCCAGCCAGTCTAGAGATCCAGCTCCGGAGGACGCTTGCCGAGAACTCGTCCTCCCTTCTTTTGTACCCAAAGGGTCTGCCCCTGTAGTTGGGGGCTTGCTGCCAGTGAGCAAGCGCAGTGTGAGCTCAGGAGTGTTCCAGAAATGAGTCGGTGGTCTCGACATGCGCAGTTCACATGCCTGGGATTCTCTGGAAATGGGTTGGTGGGCTTGGGGGGACATCGGGTAGTTGCTTTTCTCTCCCACAGGCATGACCGTTGTCTGGCCTTTCCTCCAGGTGTGTACATTGTGCTTCTTCTCATGGTTGCTTAAGATAAGGAATTGTGCCTTTGGAGAAGCGTGGTCCCACCTTACGTGGGGCCTTCTCCTCCAACCACATTTTCCTGTTCACACAACTCCAGCACTTCTACAGAGGCTGTCTTCTCCACCAAAGTTCTTCAACAAATGTTTGAGACATTGGCTATAATTTGTCAGACTGTCACAAGGGTGTAGCCAAGGACAGGACTAAAAAGGCTAGTAAATAAAAGAAAAGAGGACCAAAGGTGTTTGTGATTCTGAGTAGTGTTCTGTGCTCTCGGAGATCCTGTGGAAGAGTATCATGGACTGCAAGGATCTAAGGTTTGTATGGATCAAAGAAAGGCGTTTGTTACAGTTGCCTGGATGATGTGAGCTGTGACATCATGTAGCTCTTTTTCCTCTCCACAAGTGTTACTGCTCTTTTAGCACAGGGTTTTTCATGTTATAGTTACAAGTGCTGTAAAGGAAAACAGTCACTTAATCCATAAAAATTCTTTGTGGTTCACCTAGATTTTTGTCAGTTACAGGCCAAAATAATTTTAATTTCTCCAGTGGGGCTGAGAAGATGTTTTTTCAGCTTGTTCCTACCTATTCTAGCTACACATTGAATTCATAGGAACAATTTGTCTTTTTCTGAAAGGGTACACTGGACTGGCAGAAGCAATTGAAAACTGGGACTTCAGCAAACTGGAAAAACTAGAGTTGCACAGACAGCTGTTGAAGCGGATAGAAGCAACAATGCTAGAAGTTGATCCAGTAGCACTCATGCCGTACATAAACATGTGCCTGATAGAAAGGGAGTGTGAGGAGATCCTGCAGGTATGGTTAATGGTAAAATCCCAATTTTTGCCTAGTTTTGCTGTGGAGAAGTGCTGGCTGCCTCACTTGCTGGATGAATTGGTGCCCATCCGTCAGGCTGGTGAGTGAGAAGGGTGGCCAGCCACGATCCCCCAGGGAGGGACTTTACTTTCCTCTACTTAGAGGAGGCTTTGCTGTGTGGCTGCAGCTCCCCACAGCAGCACTGTCTGCAACACCTGCACGTCTCATTCTTCACGCCTCTGGCTTGGTGGATAAGGTGGCGTGCGAAAGGGTTGCAGGCAGGGAAGCAGAATGGGGTGGCTTTGGCACTGACAGTGCTCAGCTCTATGTCTTGGCGAAGTCCAGGCTCCTGTGAAGAGACCGCAGGGGCTCTGGAAGGTGCCATATTACAGTGAAATGGGTGCCTTGCTATGCCTTTGAAATAGACCCCTTTCTGGAGTGTTCACTCTGCATTAATGCTCCTAAAAATACAGATGGAAGTAGGCAAAGTGGCATTTAGATGATGCCTAAATTGATTCCTTCTTGTCATGGGATTTGATATAGTCATAGTCTATTACCTTAACTGTGGCAACCACTAGAAACTATGTGTATGGCTCTTCCAGTTTTGTCAGCACCCAGAGGGATGGTCGTAGGGTGAAAAGAAACTTCTGGTCTGAAGTCATTAGCTAAATACTGTGACACATAAGTCAACAACATTTTCATTGCCTTTGGATGTGAAGCTGCTGTACTGTTATGCGGTTCTAGCTCAGTGTTGTTATCGATGACTGATAACAAGTGATATTACCAATCACTCGTAATTTATGACTGGTTAATAATAAGTTATGATGCTGTGTGAAGGAGTCTTCTAGGTGTTCTCACTCCTTGTGACTCCTGAGAAAGATTGTTTGCAGGTATTCTGTTTTTAAAGCAGTATTTCTTTATGGAGATACATAATATTTGGAAAGCTATTGTGTCTGACTAAACATCAGGCCTGCATACTTTCACATTTTCCTATTCTGGAATGTTTTTTAATCAGTTCGGCCTCAGAGATTTATGGCAGATACAGCTTATTACAAGGACCTTGCCAGATGAAAATTCACAGAATAATTCAGACCTGGTGAATATTTAAGCAAATAGCCTACCTGTTGATGTAGTCCAGCTAATTTTAGTGTATGCCTAGGCTGGCAGAATTGCACTGGTAGGTAAATGACTGAATTTTACTGGAAACTTTTATTCTGTGAGAAGGAAATGCAATTTTCAACTGAACATCAAACAAAACAAATCAAAATATCAAAGAACAGCGGTTTTGCTCACTCAGAAGCTACAGCAGCTTCTGTTTGTTGTGTGCGCAGGTCAGCGAATACAGAAGCAAAGCAGCTGGGATAACTAAACTCATTGAATGTCTCTGTCGATCGGATAAGGAAAACTGGCCAAAAAGCCTTCAGCTAGCACTAGATAACACAGGATATTACAACGCAAGTGAACTGTGGGATATAAGAGAAGGTAAACTGTGAATTGGTTTTATGATGCCCTTTTCCTGTTCTTGTACGAGACAGTAATTTTTTTTTTTCAGGAGAGTAAGACTAATTTAAAAGGATACCATCAGACTGCATTGCTCATTGTTGTTTAAAAATAAAACCTTTTTTTTTATTTATTTAAAATGTCTCATATATAAAATGAAATACAGGTACTACCCTACAAACCATCAGAAATTATCTTTTGAGTATTTTTGCTCCCATATGGTTATGAATGATGCCTTTTTTTTGGCAAACAGAATCGGACAGCATACAAGGCTCTGAAGGTACAAAACTAACAAAATGTTTATCTTCTTCCCTCCATTCTGCTGTAATTCACCTTTTACCATCTTTTTGGTTGCTTGAGTTGTGATAGATGCAATGTTCTCTGATAAAACATGATTAGTAATTTGATATTCTAGAAAGTGATATAGTTCCATGGTCCACAAGTGACTATGTTCTTATTTTGTAAAAATGCAGAATTTCCCCTAAGATTTTGCTTTTGTCATTGATTTACCCTTCCCCACTTGAAAAATACCTGTATGAGTACTCTGCAGCATGGGAGAATTTAGAGCAGAATACAGTATTTCACTACAACATAATGAAGACAGACAAGCAATTTTAGATAAACTGGACTGTGGTTCTTTATATCTACATTTGCTTTCTTCCAAACCACAAGTGATTGTTTGAATTGTTTTTAATTAGCAACTGGGACAAGCTGCTTTTAAGTGGCTTCTTAAACAACATTTGTTATTTTGAAATGGTTTTTTTTGCTGTAGTCAAATGTGTGTAATTTCTTATCTGCAGATTTAATCATTATATATATAAAAATTATATAAATTTATAAATAATAATATATAAAATAATATATAAGAATAATACTTATATAGATATTATTTTATGTAGGTGATGGCTATATATATTATTTGGTTAATGGTTATATTTTATAAGTTAAAGACACCACTGTCTTTTGGCACAGCTTCTGCTAACATCCAACTTAATAAAGCCAAAGTCAGCCTACTGAGCAAACGTTGTCCATATTGGAAGCATTTTAACGCTAGCAGTTAAGAAGAGTTGCTAGTGTACATTAATCACAGATACTGTGTGCTTTCTGGAGCTGGATTATGGTGCAAATGTGTTCTCCCTCCGTCTCCAAAAGCAGCATTTTGTGATCATGTGTTCTGTTTGCAACAAGACTCTTCATGCAAAGCCCAGTGACAGTTCTTTGAGAAGGTAATGCTTATGGGGCCGAAGAAAATTTTGGCAAGCATCTTCGGAACCTCTCTTGATTATCATGTAAGATAAAGGGTGGAGATAGTCTTACAATTTCTAGGTTCTTCCAAAAGGTAAGGGGAAAGGGAGAGCAAAATCTTGAATTTATGAAGCTTCTTAAAACTCCTAAGTATTTTTCATGCTTGTGGTTAATGTCCATGTTAAATCTGTAATCTTGTCACTTAATATAGAGGATATAACTTTGTTCCCAATCTATTATGTCCTTTGATTTTTAAGGGATAGATAAATGTGCATTGTGTATGTGGGTCTTCTAAACCCAGGACTGTCAGTGCTGTCCATCTTACTTGAAAGGGAGCCTGGATGCAGTGTCATTTTATGTAGTCTTTCCATGCTAGCTATGAACTCCTCCACCTTGTCATCCCAGCAAATACAACATTTTAAAATCAAAGGATCAGTAGCATGCCTTTTTTTGTGATTGTACAGATAATGGCAAAGGTGTGGATGGTGAAATGACAAATGCCTCTGAGAACAGCTTTGAAACCGTGGTGACATTTTCTGAAGAAGCAGAATGTGATAATAATCTCAGTGAAAATCTCTGTTCAGCTTCAGGTAAGACTTAGCAACTTAAAACAGTTTGTGGCTGGAATTCTCTGTTTCTTTAGATTCCTGAAGGATGCAGATGCGGTATCCCACAAAGGAAGGTACTGAGGACCTAGTTCAAATCTCTGACTTGATTTAGCTGTCTTCTGTTTTAATGTTTTAAGGATCTCATGCTGGGCATCACGTATGTTGGGGGTTGCCACCTCATTTACCACATTTCTTGTGCAAAGTTGTTCTGCCAGCACATTATCAACAAGGTCTCCAAACACCAGACTGTTGTAGATGCATCTCCTCTGATACAACTAATTCACACATGACCTGATATTAGCCAATTTAGAGAGCTGAATGTGGCTGCAAAGGATCTGTGCAGTGGCTGTCATGTCTCCTATAGCAAATTTTGCTCCACAAGTGGTTTCTAGTTCCTGTTCCATAAGTGCAAACCCTCTAACAAGACCACAATTTAAGAGAGTATTAACTTCAAAAGTCTGTAGAGCAGAAGGCTAAAAGGAATACTGTGCATATATTTGGGGGAGGATAAGCCCTTTTGTTTTATTTCTGAGTTGAAAAAAGACCAGTTGAGCTGAGAGTTGTCAGCCAAGACTTTGAAATTAGTTCATTTTAGGAAACACAGTCAAGTGGTAACAAAAGTATGCCATCAAACCTACACAAAATTCTTGTCTGGTGCGTATGTCCTGTTAAAAGGCTTGTCTGTCAGAGAATGCTCCGTGTAGACTGCAAGGACTCTACCTCTATCCTTTTAAATAGCAACTGTGTGGGGCACAATATATTTTATGCATTTCTGTTGCAATACTCGTCAAAAAAACATGGTTCTCTCCTAGAAGGCATCTATCAGTCTTCACGTGTTTATGAACCAAAGAAGGCTTGGAGCTACCAGACTGAACTTGCACAGCCTGCTATCAATGGGAAAAACACATTGATATGTGCCCCTACAGGTAAGAAAACATGTTTCTTAGAAAAATTCTGTTGGTGGAGAGGCCTATGAAGGATAGAGAAGGGTAATGGTTCAGTCAACCTTTTTCAGCTGTTTATTTAAAAGCAGTCTTCCTTGCAGGACTAGATCCAGATCTAACCTGAAATTAATGACTAAGGGCAGCACAGAGACTGAGCAAGACAGATGTGTCTCTTTGCACTTCAGTGCTTGTATTCAGATTTCTGTGTTCTGACCTCTGCTTTCTCATTCTCTGGTGCGGATTTCTGAGTTAAAATCACTCACTGGTCTTTGCAGATCTTTAAGAAATCTGGACTGCAAGTTGAAGGAAAAATAGGTTGAGTTGCCCTGAGACTCCCCTGTCTTCTGTACTACAATGCCTACAACATCAAAACAGCACAGGGAATTTTTGCAGTAGCTCAGGACTGAATTAAGAAGATGGAAGTTCAGCAGCAAAAGAGACATCGATCAGCTCTTTCTCTCCACCTGTGTTTTCCATGTTGCTAGCCTGATTCTCCCCTGGGCCCTGGAGAAGCAGGTGGGGTAGCAGAGGCAGGGACACAGAAGAGCTCTGGGTGGCCTGCACAGTGACCCTGAATACTGAAGGAAAAGAAATGTGAGGAGCAAGGCTGCATGGGGAAGGATGGAAGCTGAAAGTGCCCAGTGTCTTTACCATAGTCTGATGTGGGACCACACACTAAGAGCAGAAATAGACTCAGTGATTTCAAAGACCTCAAATAAAACTGCAAATGGATTTTCCTTCCCAGTGACTGCTACATGGTCTTTACAGACTGAGACTGTGAGGGAGAAAGGGATGATTACCCACCTGAGTAAGCAGCAAGTGTGTGTTCAAATCTGTCCCCAGAGAGTCTGGAAGTGTAACAGCCCCCTTGTCAGCTCCCCATTGTTACAGGGCATCCAGATGAGACAGGCATCTGGTTGCAAATACACCCTTTCATGCTAGTACTTTACCTTTCATGTTCTTCATTCAAAGGATCTGGAAAAACCTTTGTGGCAATTCTGATTTGTGAACACCATTTCCAAAACATGCCCTTAGGACAAAAGGCGAAAGTTGTCTTTCTTGCAACCAAAGTGCCAGTGTACGAACAACAGAAAACTGTATTCAAGCAGCATTTTGAAAGAAGTGGGTAAGTGTAATTCTACCTGGTGGCTTCCTCTGCAGAAAATAAACAGCCCTCTAGGTCAGCTGTGGCTAGGGCAAAATGTAATGGGTTTACTGGTGACAAGAGTGTTTGGTGTTAACATGAAGATGATGCCTAATGGTAAGAATGGCAAGTTACTGTGGTAGACTTTGTCTGGAGAGTCTGAAGTCTGCTTTTGGAGAGTTTAAGCACTGGTTGTGCAGCATCTATGGAAATGGCCAAAGTATACCTGTGCTTGCCTCTGGAAAAAGGTGAAGTGTGCTCTCTCTTGAGACTCTTTTCAGTCCTGCTTCCAAAGACGAGGCAGTTCCAGGCAGCAGTAGTGGGATTCCTCTTGCCATTCTCAAATGGCAGTCTCTCTCTCTTTTCCAAATGGAAGGACCCAAACTTCTTTGGTTTTTCAACCTCTAGTCAGAAAATGACAGCCCATCTCTCAGATGGGACTGAAAATTGTTTAGGGGCATATTGACAAGCTATAGCTTCTGATTTTGAAGGAACTGATTACTGAACATTCACATATGAATCCTTATAGCTATGCGAAAATGAGGCTGCTGGACAGAAATCAGTCCTGTGCTGGTAGACATATACAGAAAAGGGATGAAGGACAGGATCTCCAAATACAGCTTACATGTGAACTGACAGATGCAGCTTAAATGTACAAATTCATCACCTCTCAAATCTAATATATTCTAGTTAATGGGAGTTGAAAATCCAGTTGTTTACCTTCAGCAGTTTTTTTCTCAGCTTCTGTGAGTCAAACTGCCAGCTCTAACAATTTGACATTTTGAACTTAGTCACTATCCTTCAGGCTTGCTGAAAACTCCATTCTTCTAGCTTTTCTTGCCCTGCAAGACATCCTTTTTCATACCGTATCTTTTGCCTCTTCTTTCTAGATATTCTGTTCAAGGAATTAGTGGTGAAACAGTTGCAAATGTCTCCGTAGAAAAGGTTATACAGGACAGTGACATCATTGTGCTAACACCCCAGATTCTTGTGAATAGCATCGAGGAAGGGATCCTTGGCTCCCTCTCCATCTTCACTCTGATGATATTTGATGAATGCCACAACACTACTGGCAATCACCCTTACAATGTGTTAATGAGTAGATACCTGGAACAAAAATTTGACTCTGCAAGCCAGCTGCCTCAGGTAAGGCCCAGTGTGCCAGTGGTGGAAACATTAAAGAGAAGTATTTTGCAGTGCAGTCAGCAAAGCCCGAAGTCTTGCCTTTTGTGTTAATGCAATTCAAACTCCCATTTAACAATGGCTGCAAATTGAAATGGTAGCATCTGGAATACTTTTTCCCTTTTCTCGGACACCTCCAGGCTGTTTTCCTGTGTTACGTGTTCCCTGCAGCTGCCAAGAAGGACTGATGAAGCATGACAGAGACTGGAGTACTTGAGAGCAAACAGGATTGCTGGGCTGGGAAGAAAGCATGTGCCCCAGAACTTACATCATCTCTTTGTCACCTCTCTGTTGCTGTCTTCTGCAACAATAAAATGGATTTGCTGTTTCTGTGTATGATGAGCACTGACAAATACAGCTGGTTATGGATTTAAGTGGGTGGATAATTTATTATCAGTTTGAATACTCTAAGCTTGAGTGCCTTGGAGAGGGCATGAGTGGGGACAAGGTTTGGCTCTGAAGATTTAGTCCTTGCACTTATGTCTACTTCAGTTGCCTGTTTTGTTTCCTTGTTTTTGAAAACAGTAACAACTTGGCAACGGGTAACAGTGTCTCCTGGGGTTTGTTTGTGACAAAGGAGCAACCACTGCTATTCATGTGTGTGCTCAGATTGTAGGTTTAACTGCTTCTGTTGGAGTTGGTAATGCCAAGAGCACCAAGGAAACGATAGAGCACATCTGTACCCTCTGCTCCTACCTTGACATACAGGCCATATCCACTGTCAGAGAGAACAAACTGGATCTGCAGAGATTTACAAACAAGCCAGAAACACGTAAGCACACTTCCTTTTTATTTTCCTGTGAGATGCGAAGCACCATAATTAAGGCAGCTATACAGTTCCCCTTCGGTCAGGTGAAATTAAAAGCTTAAAACTAAGCTGGAGCTTTGCTTCCTGCTCGTTTGAAAGGAGTTTAAGCATGCACTTCATTGTTGCCCCACAGTAAGACAGTGCCCATTTGGGCAAATTTTCTCTTTGCTGAGATACACAATCTCTGATTTTTATTCAGATCTGCCAGTGAAGATTGAGCGCTGTTTCTTTCTGTGCAGCTATAAATCTCATTAATGATAAACATAATTATGATTGCATAAAGCACCATATGTAGCATTCTTCTGGACAAGAATTTGTTCTGTGCTGCCCAGGGAAATGTTTTACTTACTCAGGCCGCTGACTTCCATTTCTTGTGTCTAGATGTCAGATGGGTTAAAATGCGAGATCAGAATCACTTTGCAGACATTATCTCAGGTCTGATGTCTGAGACAGAGGCGTTGATGAGGAGGATTTACTCAGTGGGTAAGATACTGTAATATGCCTGTAACTGGGATTCAGTCTTTGATTACATCAGTGTGAATCCTTGTGGCTGCTAGAACAGTCACTCTTTTTCCTCTTCCTTTCTCCTCCTTCCTTTTTACTTGCCTTTAACTAATTTTTCCTAAATAAGAAATTACAGGTAGAAGAGTCAACTATTTTCCTGTTATACATGATTAGTTTGATAATTATAAATATTTTTGCATGGATTTCAGCCTGTGTTTCATTCAGCTAAGGATGATGTGGTTTTGACACTGTCAAATAATTTTGAATGTTTAAAGAATCTCAAAGAGAACTACCAAAGAGCTTGCTTTCAAAATGGAGTGAGCTGGATTTCATTGATGAGAGATACCTGTATGTTCTTATTTGGAGAAATGATGATACCTAAATCTGCTTCTGTTAAGGAAAACAAGAAGGGTCTCAGTTATGGTGTTACTCTGGATGTTTTAATTTCTTCCTTTCAGCGACAGTTTACTTTCACTCTTGCTGCTCTGAGATTTCTTCTCATATTTTCTCTGGCCTCTCTGAGTTGCGCTCAGAGTTATTTCTAGGGGTACCCTGACCACCTTTTCTGGTCAGCATTTTGTCCTCTTTTTACCTCTGGGTACCCCTATTTCCACTGTTTACCAGGTGTCCATTATTTGTTATTGAAAAGCATTTAAGGTAATTTTACAGAGGAGCATCTGTGGAACATGAACACCACCAGAGAGAGGATGTGGCTGCCTAAGAAAGGAAACACTTGTCTGTAGGGTTCCAGCCTCAGGAGGTGCAGTGTTGTGAAGGATTGCAGAGAGGAAGATGCATGGCTGTGAGAAAAGAATGGGTCTCACTGTCATGAGACCTAATTCTGCAGCCCTGCAAAAATCAATTGATCTCTTCTGCTTTTGCAGAATTCCTAAGTGCTGCCCAGTAAGTGGCTGTTATCAACAAATTTGAGAGCTACAGGGGGTACAAAGCAGAGACCGATGGATGGCTATGCTCAGGATCAGCCTTGGTCTATCCAGCTCTGAATTAAAGGAGCAGGCTTTTGCAAACTGACTAGGGTGCCTTAAGCCTGTTTACCTCATTTCTGTGCTTTCTAGATTTACAACCACACTGCACTTCCCAGATATTGGAAAGCGAACTATATTCTGGGGCAGGAAGGGAGAATTAAAAAACCCCCACCAAAACAAAAAAACCCTATCCAACCAAAAAAACCCCAAGCCAAAATCCAAGAAACCCCAACAAAGAATAAATACAGTGGGATTTTCAAACTGCAGGCTAAATTAAGCAAACACTTCTGAAGTTTATTTCTGCATCACAGTTCCTCTTGCATGAATGTCATTGGCTTCCCTTCTGTGGACCCTCTGATTACTGAAGTTTGTGAAGCACTCAGACAGAGTATATACATGACAAACAGGTACTGACTAGTTCTGCCTCAAGAACAGGCCCTTGGATAATACACCTTTAAGTACCATGGACCATTTAGCAAATGAATACTTACCTGTGGAGTAGCTGGTAACTCAAGGAGCAATGCACATGCAGTTTCTTGAATACTGTAGGTTTCTTATAGGACAAGTGAGCTCTATTTTTATTCCTAAAGACTCTGCAGATGTGTGTATGTACACAGATCCTCAGCTGAATTGTACTAGGATAATTTTAGCCTAACATGTATACACTGAAACACAGGGAGTGAAGAAGACAGAGCCAGACTCTTCTCAGATGGTTCCCAGAGGCAGGACAAGAGGCAGTGGGCACAAACAGAAATACTCAAACAACAGGAAGAACTTCTTTGCTGTCAGGGTGGTCAAACACTGGAACAGGTTGCCCAGAGAAGTTGTGGAGTCTCTCCTTGGAAGTACTCAGAATCCATTTGGACATGATCCTGAGCGACTGGCTTTAGGTGACCCTGCTTTGAGCAGAGGGTTGGACTAAAGACCTCCACAGGTGCCTTCCAGCCTCTGATTCTGTGATTGTATCATACAGTGTTCTTCTGTATAGGTTTTTTAGACCTAACATTCCTAGAAATGTGTTATCTTCTAGCTAACTGTTCTGGTTATTTGTTAGTCAAGATTTACAAATGTTTGTTTCCTCCTTCTTTACTAGACACTATCTCCCAAATCAACAGGAATGATTTTGGAACACAGAAATATGAACACTGGATAGTTGCCACTCAGAAGAAATGCAGGCTGTTGCAACTGGCAGATAAGGAGAAGGAGAGCAGCATTTGTAGACACCTTTTCATTTGCACTGAACACCTGCGGGTAAGTGTATATCCTCTTTCCTTCCATATAGAGGTGGAGCCATCCTGTTTCTTCTGATACAGGTATGTTCACCTAGGAGCAGGTTTGGAACCAAATAATTTTATTTGATGCAGGCTAAAGCATAGTGTGTAAGAGTTGTGTCTTACTATACTCACTAAGAACAGTATAGTGCAGAAGAGACTTTGTAATGCTTGTGTTGACATGCAAATGGAAGAACAACATAAGTTTGTAATACTTAATCTAGTTAAATTAAATTTGCATTCATACCCTGTCCCACAGAAAATGAGGCTTAAATGTGTATGTCTCTCTTTCTGAGCAGAAATTCAACGATGCTCTTATCATCAGTGAAGATGCCCGCATTGAAGATGCTTTAGCCTACCTAACTGAATTTTTCACAAATGTCAAAAATGGACCATATACAGAGTTAGAGAAGAAACTGACAGCCAAATTTCAAGGTATTTCACACAGTACCTGTGGCAGTGGCAGGTGAGAAGAGGGCTTATGGTAGGATAATCCAAGTGTTTTCTTCAGAGTAAGTGCAGTTGTTTTTCCAGAAGTTTTGTCCGTGTGGGTGCAAATGTAGTGTTAGGGTAGGCAGGAGGGAACTTACTTTCTGGGACTGCAAGCTTTTAGCGCAGGAGCTAAGGAAGTAGTAGTAATTGTAGCTAGATGCTATAGTAGGTTCTTACCTGCTTGACTTGGAGATAAGTCAGTGATGTCCTTAAGAGTGTGCCCCACAAGTAGGGGGATGGTCTACAATCGTGGATGCTGGCATCATTAGATAAGGCAACGTACACTGCTTGATGCACTGCCTAGCCTCCTCTTGCCCAATGCTGCTGGACGAATCCCAAACTTCTGGGAAGAAGCAGGTGGCCCTTCTACCCTTCTGATTAAAAGTTAGAGGTGGCACTGTTCTCTAACTGCTGATTTAGTAGCAGTGTGCTGTAAAACAGCCTGTGATCTGGTGTGTTGCAGTGTTGACTGCAATTTTAAATCACTGGGCTGTCTGGCCTCTGGTGTCAGTTGTTTCCTAAAAAGAAATAGCACTGCTCTTTGCAAGAACTGAGTTTGTTTTGATGCTGTCTTTTGACTCGCAGTATGTCACAGAGGTTCTTCTGTCAGTCTGCTACAAAATGTGAGAGATTCAGAATTCTTTTTTTCTGGGGATTTTGTTGTATTTAACCACTAGCTTTGCATCTGAAAGAATGGTATAGAAAATAAAAATAGATGCTAAAGAGAATGTGGGTGGCTTCGTAGGTTTGGGTGAGAATTCTGGTTTTGGCATTAAAGAAGGTGAATTATTCAAGACACTGCTGTTTTCTTCCAGAGAAAGAACCAGAACTGACTGCCCTTTCAAAAGATGAGTCAAATGAGAATCCTAAGCTGGAAGAGCTTGCTTGCATCCTGGAGGAAGCATACCGCTATAACCCAGACACTCACACTCTTCTCTTTGCTAAGACAAGAGCCTTAGTAGCTGTAAGACATTTCTTTTCAAAGCTCCTAAAATGGGAAGTGAGAAAATAAAATCCCTCATCTATTACCCTTCCCATTTTGATCTGGAAATTGAAAAATATGCATGTATTTGATTTTCCTAAGAAAATAATTATCTTTCTATATCTTCCTAAGCACTGATGCTATGAGACAGGATGAGGGTTTTTTTTTTTCCTTTTTCTAAAAACTACAGTACAGGGGTGGTGCCCTTCATCACTTTTTCTTGCTACGTGTCATAGCTGGTCATTAAGCCATCAGATTTTTACTTTAGGTCTGAAGTAATTTTTAACAAGATGTATTACAATGTTTTTGGCTTTAATGTGGCAGTATTATAAACCAGCATCTCTGCTCTATTACAGACTGCACATCAGGAGGCATTTGTAGGTTTCCCCGAGGATTCCTATAGGCCCAAAGGAGGCCTTTGCCCTAGCATGTTCTTGATCAATAAAAAGGAAAGACTTTGTTGAGCAGATGATCTCTGGACCCTTCTGATGCACTGGTCTATTTCATACTTGCCTAGGATCAAGAATCTAGGCTGCATGATCTTTTTTCTCCCTTCCAATACATTGTTCCCAGAAAAAAATCATGTCTGAATTAACTGTGCTGCTAATCATTAGCTTCAGTAGCTCTTAAACCTTTACTGCAGGGTGTCACAGTCTCTGGCTACTGTAAACAGATTTATCAGCTCAGAGTCCCAATCCCCATTTTATCCTTGGGTATAGACATGCTGGATGAAATGCAAACCAGAAAAATATTAAAGGCAGGCTAAAGTCCAAACTAACAACACTAAGCATTTGCTGGTAACTTTCAATTATAGAGGTAAAAGCCTACTGTAGCTTGGCTGAATTTTGTTCTTACGTAACAGCAGTTTGAAGGTGCTACATTCACTGTGCAGTGAGAAAGTGCAGTTTGTAAATAGCAACTCATTTCCTGTGGATCCCAGAGGTGTAGTATTCAATGATCTGTTGGTTTATAAGAGAAAAAGGCATACTTTTTAGTGGTGAAAGGCTGCTTGCTCTCTAGTCAGTCTTTAAGTTGCAGGGGTGGGAAAAGTGGAAATCACCTGTGGCATGGTTCAATCTGGCATCATGGCTGTGACCCTTGCTTTCTTACCTATTAATAGATGCTCCCTCCTGATGCACAAGTCCCACCTTCTTTTATGCTTTTGCTTCTCAGAAGTATTAATTGTCTAGGCAAGCATGGGCAGGATCTACGTATCTATCCCAAACTAACATTTCATCTGGACAGGGATCTAACTCCCTGATTTGCTTTCCAGGCTTTGAAGAAGTGGATAGAAGCAAACCCTCTACTTAGCTACATAAAGCCAGGTGTGTTGATGGGTCGTGGAAGAAGAGATCAAAAAACAGGTATGCAGATTTGCACTGAGGAATACCAGTTGCTAGACCTATGGTGGCTACACTGCTGAAATTGTTCTACTCTTCCTGTGTTCATCTTCTGTCCTCTTAAACAGAGGAAGGTCATGAAAGTTTGTACTTTGCTTTCTTCCACATCTAGAAGACCTTTAACCAATCCTAAGGAGATGCTTACTTTTTCTGTCCAGAATCTTTGGTTAAAGCAGCAGTAACACTGTCAGTGACCCTTTGCTGCAGGATTCTTTTGCTAGTTCAGAAGAAGTTTAGAAACTGTTTGCTATCGTGGCTTCTTATGATTACTTCTAGTGGTATCTTCCCTGTTCCTTTTACAGATCCCTCTCTTATTTTGTGTGTGGTTTTAAGGTAGAACAGAAGCTATAGCTGAAATGAATTATGCATGGCTTAAGTTAAGAGTTAGCTTGGGCTTAAAATAACTAAGCTGTATAGGTCTCTCTAATAAAGGTCAGCTAGGTGTTGTGTCTGAAATCGTATTTCCCAGGATGACAATTTGTGTGGCACATCAACAGGAATTCCTGCTCAGTGGGTATAGTACGCAGCCAGCTGGATACACAAACTTAAAGTACTTTTCCAGATCAAGAGGACATGCTCATTTTTAATCACTTAAATAAAGAGAAAATGCAGGTATCTTGCTCAAGGAATTCTTAACTCTTCTTAATTTAAGGAAATTAGTGTTTTTTCCTGACACAGTTTCTTGGTACTGTAGGTATGACCCTCCCAATGCAGAAGGGTGTGCTGGATGCATTCAAAACCAACAAAGAGAACAGACTGCTAATTGCTACATCCGTTGCTGATGAAGGCATTGATATTTCTGAGTGCAACCTTGTTGTGCTCTACGAATACTTCGGTAATGTCACCAAAATGATCCAAGTCAGAGGTATGGAATTTCAGAGCTATTATTTTAGAAACCTGTTTTGGCCTAGAAAGGGACAAAAAGTGCTACTGAATTACACTTTGGAAATACTATAGTAATATGTGCATGTCTTGCTGTTATTCCTCTGTGCCCCTGAGTGAAGTCAGATGAATGATGGGACTGGACATGACAAATTTGTTCACAGAACTGAGTCCTTGATGTTGTGTGACTTTTCTTTTGCCATGCAAATTAGCCATGCTGCACAAGGTTATTGAACTGTTGAGGACTGATCCCTCAAGTGGCTAATTATACATATAAGCAGAAGTATGGCTAGAAGAGCTGTAGTCAGAAATAATGCAAATCATTCTGTGACAATTTACAAAAGACTGCTGTAATGGAGTTTCATGCATTGCCATGGCTTCTGAAGACCTTCCCCTGCCCAGTGGCTTATTGCCAACACAGCTACTCATGGGTACCTGAGACCTTCACATCTGCAGATTTGTAACATTCAAGACAAGAAAAAAGGAAACTGTTTCTGTCTTGGCTTGTCTGAAGAAGTCTGTCAAGACTTTGGTCTTGAATCTTGGTGATTTTACAATAAGGCCAGTGGAGGGGAATGAAGACCCACACTAAATACTGCTTTCTGTTTATGACATTCCTAAATGTCATAAAACTGCCTATGTCTTTCAAGGGTGCATCTGCAGTACTTTATCGTATCACCCAAGTAGATTACTTCATAATTTGATGGTAAGTGATCTTAGTCCTCTGCTTTCAGGGTTTGTGTCCCGTGACTTTCTTATTTTTGTCTTAGAATGAAATAATTGGCCCAGAATTCATGTTTATGGGTGAAAGGATAGTGTTTCTTAACAAGCCATGAAAGATGCAAAGAAAATAGGCTGCGTCAGTTTTAAACAACATAAAATCATGATTTTGGGGGAATAGGAGCTCAAAAGCTAATGTGAACACTTTTTCTAACCGAAATACTTCTGAAGTGGTACGAGATCCCTGTAGTTCTTAGTTTGCCTGTGACACAGCAGCAAAAAGCAGGCAGGCAGTAGGCATAGACAGGCGATGAGATGGCACTTGCTCTTGTCTCTTTTCTTGCCATCACCATATTTCCAGTTCCTCAGGTTTTTTGTGATAAGACTTTTTCTTTTTTTAAATAGACACCAATTAGCAGGGCAGAAAACTAGTAAGTAAGACTAAGATGAACCTTTTTCCTCTAGTTTTTTTCCCACAAGAAGACAGCAAGATGCTGTACAATAACTGAAGTGTCAAACATGCCTGAGCTTAACTGAGGCAGGCCACAGAAGCAGTCAATACAGCACTGGCTGGGTGATATCCATGAGGGTGCCTGGAAAGGTGCATCTTGTTCTGGCTTGTGATTGAAAAAGAGCGAGCTGAGAGACTGCTCTTCAGAAGCAGCATTATCTGAACCTGAACATGGGAAACAAAAGCAGCCGCACAGAAGTCCTTTATGCTCTTTTATGGCATAGCTGCCGCTTTTGCACATCTTGTTAAGAGTAACTAAAGAGGATAAATATGTTGCTGTATAGGTCGTGGAAGGGCAAAAGACAGCAAGTGCATCCTTGTGACAAGCAAAACAGAAGTGGTTGAGAATGAGAAACACAACCGTTACAAGGAAGAAATGATGAATGAAGCTATTGAAAAGCTACAGAGTTGGGATGAAACAACATTTGCAAGAAAGGTTTGTACTTCTGTGGAATTTTCATACGCAAATCTACAGGCGTAATCTATATTGGCCTTAATCTACAAGGGCTCTATCTAGGACCAAGTGATAACTTGAGAAAGGTATTCACTGTATTTGGTTTCAGACCAAGGCTAAATCAGCAGAGAAGGGATAGTGTGTACTGCTCGCTTGCAGAATGTCATCTGTACTGTAACTGTAAAAAACTTAGAAGTTGAGGTAGAATTTATGTAAACTTCTCAGCTTAGAAATAAAATATAAACTATTCTGTCCACTGGAAGAAAAATATTACTGTGTCTGGGATAGTGGACAGGGAGATGGGTAACTATAGAGACGGGGGTAATAGGTTCATCCAATTCTTGTTCAGAAGCACTTTATCTTTGCTGCAGGCTGGTAGAAGTGCTTTTCTAAAGTTGTTTGTTGTCACACCAAGTGCTTGTTGATTTCAGAGCAGTGGTTTCTGGGAGATGTCAAGAAACCATTGTCTGAGACATTAACAGGATGACATTTGGGTTTGTACCTGCTCTTCTACTGGTGACTTCTTTTGTACTGCCTACAGTACTGTTAATCTTTGCTTCAAGCAACTTCTGGCAGGTGAACAAGCCTAGTAGAACACCTCAGTACACATTCAGTGCTTTTCATTAACCCTGCTGTGTGCTGTGCACTTACCAGATCAGAAAACATCATGAGGGTAGAAAGAAGTGTTAAGTACTTCTGATGCTGAGGTGACATGTAAGAGGTGTTGCGGCCTAAGTCAATGACAGATTTTTGGCCGGGCAGTTTTCTGCCTGGCGCAGCAGGCATGTTTCCTCTGTAACCACCCCACCTTCCTAGATGCCCTTGCGTAATAGGTATGAGGCTCTGCAAGTGGAATCAAACAATGATGAGGATGATGGTTCATGTAGCTTGGAGGTGTCATCAAGGTTAAACTGGCCTATGCCCTGTGTCAAAAACACTTCCATAAAGAAAAAAAGACAGGTCACTGTCATAGGAGACCCTCTCCTGAGGATAACGGAAAGCCCAATATGCCGACCAGACCCACTTCTTAGGGAAGTCTGCCACCTCCCTGAGGCCCAGGTTAAAGATGTGAAGAGAAAGCTTCCTACCCTGGTATCGCCCTAGTATTATTATTCATTATTGATTTTTCATGTAGGCAATGGTGAAGTTGCAACAAGAAGTCCAAGGGCAATCAAAGAGACTTCAGGGCCTTGGGACAACTGGCTAAGGGATCAGGAGCACAAGTAGTGTTCTCCTCTATCCTTCCAGTTGCAGGCAATGACAAGGAAAGAAAGGAAGACCCAGCAGATCAATACGTGGCTCTGAGCCTGTGTCACCAGCAGAATTTGGGGGTTTTTGATCATGGGTTGGTCTACACAACACCAGGTCTGCTGGCGACAGACAGGGTACACCTGTCTCAAAGGGGGCAAAGGATCTTTGCGCAGGAGTTAGCAGGGTTCATTGAAAGAGATTTAAACTAGATTTTAAGGGGGAAAGGGATAAAACCAGGCTTGCTAGAGATAAGCCTGGTGGTGGCATGCCAATGTTTAAGGGATGCTGTGCTAGCGAGGTCCTTCAGTCTGCCATCTCAGTGGAGGTAGGGGATGGAGATCCACACAGTGGCAAAGAATCAAGGGGTTTTGATGTGTTAGAAACCATGGGAGTGACTGAGAACAGTCACATAGGAACTTGGGCTTCTTCCCCCTAAAAGGTGGCAGGATCAATAGCCCAACTGAAGTGCATCTACACCACTGCACACAGCATGGGCAACAAACAGGAGGACTTGGAAGCCGTTGGGCAGCTGGAAAACTGATAAAATTGCAATCACGGAGGCATGCTGGGATGACCTGCACAACTGGAGTGCTGCAATGGATAGCTATAAACTCTTCAGAAGGGATTGGCAAGGGAGGAGAGATGGTGGGGTAGCCCTCTATGTTAGGGAGTGGTTTGATTGTTTAGAGCTTAATGATGGTGATGAGAGGGTTGAGTTTTTATGGGCAAGAATCAAGGGGAAGGCCAACAAGGCAGAGGTCATGGTGGGAGTCTGTTACAGACTGCCCCACCAGGACGAAGAGGCAGACAAAATACTCTATAAGCAGCTGGAAGTCTCATGATCGCTAGCCCTTGTTCTTGTGGGGGACTTCAACTTGCCAGGTGTCTTTTGAGAATACAATACAGTGGAGAGGAAACAGTCTAGGAGGTTCCTGGAGTGTGTGGAAGATATCCTCCTGACACAGCTGGTGAGTGAGCCAACTAGGGAAGGCACTAGGGAAGATGGTTGGAGGCCATCTTGGGCACAAAGATGATGAAATGATTGATAGCTTTTGATTCTCAGAGAAGTAAGGAAGGGGGTTAGCAGAACTGCCACCTTGGACTTCCAGAAGGTAGACTTTGGCCTGTTTGGGAGACTGGTTGACAGAGTGCCTTGAGACGCCATCCTGAAGGGCAAAGGAGTCCAGGAAGAATGGACATTCTTCAAGGAGGAAATCTTAAAGGCACAGGAGCAGGTCATCCCTATGTGCCAAAAGATGAGCCAGTGGGGAAGAAGACAGTGCTGGCTGAACAGAGAGCTTTGGCTGGAACTTGGGGAAAAAAAGGAGAGTTTATGACCTTTGGAAGAAGGGGCAGGCCACTCAGGAGGACTACAAGGATGTTGTGATGTTATGGAGGGAAAGAATTAGAAGGGTCAAAGCCCAACTAGAACTTAATCTGGCTACTGCTGTAAAAGACAATAAAAAATGTTTCTAAAATACATTAGCAATAAAAGGAGGGCTAAGGAGAATCTCCATCCTTTATTGGATGTGGGGCAGATGCACAGTGACAAAGGCTGAGGTACTTAATGCTTTCTTTGCCTCAGTCTTTAATAGTAAGACCAATTGTTCTCTGGGTACCCAGCCCCCTGAGTTGGAAGACAGGGACAGGGAGCAGCATGAAGCCCACATAATCCAAGGGAAATGGTTAGCAACCTGCCACACCACTTAGACACACACAAGTCTATGAGGCTGGATAGGATCCATCCAAGGGTACTGAGGGAGCTGGCAGAAGCGCTCACCAAGCCACTTGCAATCAATTATCAGCAATCCTGACTAACTGGGGAGGTCCCAGTTGACTGGAGGTTAGCAAGTGCAACACCCATCTACAAGAAGGACTGGAAGGAGGATCCAGGGAACTACAGGCCTGTCAGTCTGACCTTGGTGCCGGGGAAGGTTATGGAGCAGATTGTCTTGAGTGCCATCACACAGCACATACAGGACAATGAGGTGATCAGGCCCAATCAGCATGGGTTTATGAAAGGCAGGTCCTGCTTGACTAACCTGATCTCCTTCTATGACCAAGTGACTCGCTTAGTGGATGAGGGAAAGGCTGTGGCTGTTGCCTACCTGGACTTTAGTGAAGCCTTTCACACTGTTTCCCACAGTGTTTTCCTGGAGAAACTGGCTGCTCATGGCTTGGACAGGTGTACTCTTCACTAGATAAAAAACTGGCTGGGTGGCTGGGCCCAAAGAGTGGTGGTGAATGGAGTTAAATCCAGTTGATGGCCAGTCACAAGTGGTGTTCCCCAGGGCTCAGTATTGGGCCCAGTTCAGTTTAATGTCCCTATCAAAGGTCTGGACGAGGGGATCGAGTGCACCCTCAGTAAGTCTGCAGATGACACCAAGTTGGGTAGGAGCATTGATCTGCTTGAGGGCATGAAGGCTCTACAGAGGAATCTGGACAGGCTGGGTCGATGGGCCAAGGACAATTGGATGAGGTTCAACAAGACTCAGTGCTGGATCCTACTCTTGGGTCACGACAACCCCAGGCAATGCTCCAGGCTTGGGGAAGAGTGGCTGGAAAGCTGCCTGGCAGAAAAGGACCTGGGGGTGTTGGTCAACAGCTGGCTGAATAT